CACTATAAGTTCATTCTTTAAAATATTGCTTCTGGCAGTTAAATTAGAATTTGACTGTAGACAAAATTGTGACGTATTTTTTTAATGCGCTTTTGTATTTCCGGAAATGAAAACACAATATGACGGCGTCTAGCGAAAGCTATAAATCTGCGGTTTTGAAAAAATAACAACGAGAGCTCATATTTAATGCGGGCCTTTCACTGATTCCCGATTTACACTCTCACGTCCAGATGAGGTGCAATTCTATATATTGATGATAAGTAGCAAAGACAGAAGCCAAAAGTTTTGAAATACTAATTCATCAAATAATTCAAGATAAACTGTCCTGTGGTAACTCAGAGTATCTCAAATTATGCAGCTATGCTCAAATTTGAACTAATTTTTTTATAATTTCCAATACAGGAAGTAAAGAACTTGAAATTTTGATAATTTCTACGTAATGTAAGGTCTGTAACTTGAAATCAGTCTTAGATTTTGTAGTTCTTTGATCAAGGAATCTTAGTACTACTAGGTGTACTTTTCGTCTTAAATGCAATTCAGATTACCTATTTTAATCCAATTCGGTAAAATTTTGCTTAATTGTACTCAAATCTTACGAATGCAGCTAACATTTCCACAAAATTTGCACCCATCCGGCTAAATTTCGCACCAACTTAAGCTTGCTTTTATCTCGCCTGCTAAATTTTACACGAACTAGCTCACTTTGCGCGGACGATTTTAGCGTTTTTTTAACGCACAAGAGCTCAACATTCACAAACTCATCAAATATGCTAAATACAGCGCAGCAAGTACTCGCTGTGGCAGAAAAGAAAAGGACCTTCTTTTCTTTAAATCGCGGGTTGAAGTGGAAAAGGATATCACCATTTTGTGCCAAGAAATTGATTTCGAAACGATCACCCTTCGGGATACCATAGACGTAGACTCGTTCTTCTAAAAAAAGAAAAATGATCGAACGAGCTGATACCTAGGTATATTTAACTCCATAACGGATGTCGATTCTGAGCAAACAAAAATTTAAAAATATTCGCCAAAATATGTGACACAGTTTAAACTCAAAGCATGCTTGCATTTCGCAAAAATTGCCTCGAAAACTGAACAGCGCGAGAATAAGTAGTCTCTGCAGGGCTTTCCTAAATACCATCAAGTTTTGCCCCCTTTTCAAGCAGGGATGCATTATTCCGATGCAACGCTCATTTAGTTGGGCGTATGTGTGTATGTGAACAGACCTCACACCTAAACAAACAATACTCTACAAAAAAAAAACACAAAGGGATAGAGACGATAAGGGTGTCGTGGAATTCAGCCGGCAGCAGCATCAAGCTGTCACCCTGCAGAACATGTAGTAAAAGGGGACCTGACTTATCACATCTACTCATATGATTTTTTACCACAAAAGGGAAACTAAAATCACAAAGCGGGGCATTTGCATACCACAGAGAGCCAAGGACAACTGGGCAAGAAGAGGATCAGCTGCCACTTTATCCCTTGTTCATACCAGCCGGTTCTTCCTTTTGCAACACTGGTGATTATCGCTTTAAATTTCCGGTGGTCAAGTTTACTTTCTGTAATGTCATTCAGCTGTAATGTTTGAAAGGCCAAACGTGGCTGCTGCAGGGACTGGTTTGTTGATCGATGAAATTTAAACAACAGAATGCTTTGCAATTCAGAGTGTCATCTCTGCGGTCAAATTGTTGGCAAACATGGACTGATAGCACTTACGACTTCTTCATTTTTCAGTAAGAATAAAATAACGCTTAAACAACAAGTGCGTGGTGAAAGTAATATTCTGTTCTGGATCGATTCCATCCTTAAGTCTTAAATCGTCCCTAAATCTTCGACCATAATCTTTAAAGTCCTAGACCTCTAGATAATAATTCCCACTGTGTTGCTAACTCTGATTAGAAAAAGCATTACTTCGTACATCGAGTGACAGAAGTGTCACTCATAAAAACTGCCAGCCGCAAGAATGTCGGCCCTCTGCTTTTTAAAAATTATTTAAGACGGAAGCTATCGGCTCCTAATGCTTCCGCATTCATGAACTGTCAGAGTAATTTAACAGACTGGCACAGGATGGAATTCAGAGTAAACAGACTCGGAACTTTTTCTGAGTTTCAGTGGGAGATTTAAGGAAGACGCACATCATCGCTTTATCGTATTTGCCATGAAGTCAACTGAAACAGCTAAGACAGTATGTATAGGAGGAACTCACCGGCCCTCAGATATCCACCAGGAAACTGAGTCTCGAACGGCAAATTGTAATAGCGTCCGCCCCAGTGTACTCCTTTCAACTGTACGTCTTTACGGACGGCGAAATACTCCACTGCGGCAATGTTGACACGGGTTTTATAGACGTGAATTTCTTTTTGATTTCCGAAAATTTCAAATTTGTCATCGTGAACCCGAATGCGAAGATCAAAATCTTCTCCTTTCTTGAACGGATTCGAAGATTTCTCTTCCTTTCCCCACTTGTTGTGCTGGAAAACGAAATATTCAGCACCAAAAAACCCAGGCTGGAAGGCACCAGGCTTGCCGGTGCAATCATGCTTTTTTATGCGTTTTGTACTGTATAACAGCAATACAAAACGCATATTGTCACTGGGTTGTCTGTGTGTGTGTGTGTGTGTGTGTGTGTGTGCCCCACATTTTGTCCAGTACTTTCAACTCGGGAACCATAAAAGCTAGGCGGCTGAAATTTTGGTATAATGTTCCCCGCCAACGTGTGACACGGCAAATTTAAATTCAGCCTTCCCGTACCCAAAGGTAACACGTACGACTCCGTAAAAGTTTTTTCGGGTAAAATTATTACGGGGACCACGTAAGCTAGAAGGCTGAAATTTTGTGGGCATGTCCCCTGCCATGTTCTACCCAGAAAAGTTAAATTCAGCTTTCCCCTGCCCGCAAGTAACATGTATGGCCTCGT